TGGGTACCAATGATCCCTCCAATTGAACTTGCTCGTCGATGTCGCGTCTTCAATCTCGTCCTCAGCTCCGTAATCTTCCCCGTCCGGTTCCCTCTGCCCTTCTGGGTCAGCGGTTTGTGGCGGCGGCGATGCAGGCGCAGCTACTCTCAGAGGAGGTAGATTTTTCGCTCTGCCTGGTAAATTACGATTTGGGTTTTTGGTGGAGATCAAGAAAGGGGGTGTCTTGAGAGATTTGGCGGGTGGCGATGGCGGCGATGATGATGTGAAGATTGTAGGAGATGCAAAGGAAGATAGAGAAAATGCCATGATAGTGTGAAGATTGTAGGGATGCCTTGAGAGATTTAGTGGGTTTGATTCTCACACTTCAGTTCTCTGAATTTCTGCTAAAAATTAGAGAGAGAGAGAGAGAGAGAGAGAGAGAGAGAGAGAGAGAGAGAGAGGAGTTTGCGTGCAAGTTTGAAATGGGTTCCTGTCATCCTGACTTCCTGTTTGTCTGTGCCTGGAGGTAGAGCTAGAGAGTTCCAGTTTTAGCTCCGAGGAGAACGGTAATTTCCGGGGGAAAATTATGTGACTGGCAAGATCTCATTTGTTAGGTTTTGTTTGGTGGGGACGGTGCCCGCCATGAGTAAAGCACGTGAGTTAGAAAAATCAAGATTAATTAACGTTGAATGTCATGCACTGGGCATAATAGAATTTTACCTTCATAGGTGTGAGAAACATATTAAGATAACAAAATTAACAGGTGTTGAAATTGACACGATAACGAATCGGGTCGTTATCGGATAATCCGATAAGCATCTGTTAAATTAACGGATTAATTCGGATATACACCTAGACAATACGATACACGATAAGCAAAATATTAATTTAATAATTTTATAACCCTAAAAAAATACTATAATAATTATATATATATATATATATATATATATATATATATATTAATTGAACAATTTTATACCCCTAAAAACTATTATAAGTATATATATGTGTGTGTATAATTAAATTTAAAAAATTGTGAACCATTGGATCGGCTGAGATTTAATCTCAAGTCTCAGCTGTCCATTGTGCATTAGGTTGGAGACTATCCTTCTCTTCTCTCTCATTCACTCTGATCTCTCCAGTCCAGACCTACTCCCATGCCGTCTCCTTAATCTGCATCTCTCTTGCATCCTCCTCCTTTCACTTCATTTAACTCGACTCCAGTAGGCACAAGAAAACCACACACAGGCAAGCACACGCTAAAGGTATGAATTTTGTATTTTTGGGTATTCTATGGTTTTTTTCAAAAACTAGTGATTTGGGGGGTTTTCATTAAAATTAAAACTAATGGCTGGGGATTTTCTGGGTTTGGGGTTTTTGGGGTTTTCTGATTTTGGAGATTCTGGGTTGGGGCATGTTTGCAAACATTCAAAAAACCTAGCAATCGAGCAAGCCTGCCTCACATTGGCTTCGCAAGCTTGAAAATCACAAAATGACGAGGCAGAAATAGAATCAAGCATTGGAATTTGGGAGTATAGATGTAGACTGCAGTTATGTAAATTAACTTTATTATGTCATGCCATTTAGTCGTATTGTAAGCCGTAAGGTGAGATTCATTACTTAATGTCATATATATATATATATATATATTGGGGATATGTTATCAGGGGACTGGGGAGGTTAGAATTCAGGTGGCCTGTGAGGCAGGCAATGATAGAGTAGTGACACCCCACCTATTTTTGTTTTGCTATAGTAGATGCAATGTCTTAATTATTTGTATGGATTTATTTGTCCTAAGTATTGACAATTGGGTCCTAAGTATTGACAATTGGCAGACATGTCCTTTTTTTTTTTTTTTTTTTTTTTTTTAATTTTAATTATGAACGTCGCGAGTTCATTTGTATCTATCTTTCATTTGGGGTCTATTTACTTGAAGTTAATAAATGGGGTCTATATTTGTTTTCCAGATTTGTAAATTTGGAACAAGCAAAACAATTAAGGCTGCGACCTGCAAGTGCAAGGTATTTTTAATTGAATTGTGAATTTGAAAGTAAATTTGAATTGGATTGTGATTTGTGGATAAGTGAATTGGATTTTGAAATTGAATTGGATATGTGAATTTGAAATGGATATAGATAGGTGAAATTGAATTGCATATGTAAAATTGAAATGAATATGTGAAATTGAAATTGAAATGGATATGTGAATTTGAAATGCATATGGTATGAAATTAGTATGAGCAAGATTTTTCAGTTTTGTTTTTCTTTCTTGAAGCAATGGATGTTGTAAAGCAAGATTTTACAAACCTTAGTGATGGAGGGTCAGTGGAAGTTACAATGGGGGGAATACAACCTGATCATGGAAGTGAAAATACAGAAGATACAAATACAAGTCCGGCAAAGAAAAATGCTAGAGTGATCAAATTAGGTAAGCGACACTTAGGTCTCCTGTTTGGAAAACTTTCAACAAATTGACTACTATTTTTGGTAAAAGTTGTGCTCAATGTAAAGATTGTAAGAAATTGGTAATAGATGACAGTCATCATGGGACAGGTAATATGAATAGACATTTGAAAACATGCCCTAGACCGACTGGTGGATTATTGTCGGTGTCTGAATTCTGTTCCCAAAACTTCGATCTCGTGGTATTACGTGGCTTATTGGTAGAGGCATCATCAATCATAATCTTCCTTTTAGTTTTTTTTGAATATGAGGGAATTAGGGCTTTGTTTGCCCACCCCCCCCCCCCCCCCCCCCGACACACACACACACACACACACACATATATATATCTTCTGATCTTAAGTTACCGTGTAAAAATACAATTAAAGCATGTGTGTTGAGAATGTTCAAAAATGAAAAACAAAGGTTTCATATTTTGTTAGGCTCAGTTGAAGGTAGAATTTGTTTGACATCAGACTTATAGACCTCGCAATGCATTGATGGGTATCTTGCTCTTACTGCTCACTTTGTAGACAAAGATCGGAAATTGCATAAAAGAATTTTAAGTTTTTATCACATGCCTCATTCGCATACTAGTGTTGCATTATCTGAGAAAATTAATGCATTGGTGACTGAATGGGGGATTGACAAGAAGTTATTTTCTATTACTTTGGATAATGTTTCTTTAAATATTTCTTTTGTTAGCATTTTGAAGAATCAATTGAATCTTAGAAGTCTTCTCGTGATGAATGGTGATTTCTTTCATGTGTGTTGTTGTGCTCATGTTTTGAATTTGATAATCCAAGATGGACGTAAAGAAATTGATTCTTCGATGATAAAGATTCGTGAATGCATCAAGTATATAAAGGGCTCTGAGGCTAGGAAACTAAAGTTTTATGAATGTGTTAGACAAGTAGGGATATTGGATGGTGGGAGAGGTTTGAGACAAGATGTCCAATTTTAGTAGTTGTCCTTCTTCTGAAGAGGCATAAAATAATGAAAATTTCCAAGCTTTTGGGATACTTTTATGAGGTTACGTACTTATTCTTTGGGACAAAGTACCCCACATCAAATTGTTCTTCCCTAAGGTGTTCATAAGCCAACTTCAAATTAAGGCAACCATGGATAACTCTGAAAGTTTCATGAACAAGATGGGGACTTACATGTACACGAAGTTCGAGAAGTATTGGTCAGAGTATAGTTTGATTTTGGCAATTGCAATCATCTTTGCATTTTGTGGATTGGACTTACACAAAACTTCATGGCGTAAATTCAGTCAAATTTACAAAGGTTAATGGCAAATTGAATGTTCTTTTTGGTGTGTACTTGGAAAAACTTTCACATCTTGATAATTCAAATACTCCAGTGAATTTAGTGCCTAATCATCAAACAGAATCTGGATATGTTCTCTTTGAGGTAGCCTAAGTTTGTTTTTCTTTACTTTATATATTTGCAGTAGTAGTAGTACTATAAAAAGTGTTTATATTATATTTGAAATTGACATGATGCATGATTCTTCTTACGTTTTTGTTTTTATTTTTTATGATGTAGAATTTTGATAATAATTACGATGGTTCAAGTTCGATTGAAAAAAAAATGAATTGCAGAAGTATTTGAAGGATAAAAGAATAGATAGAAAAGTAGACATAGATGTTCTTTCTTGGTGGCAAATGGAACATTTTCATTATCCAATACTTTCTCAGTTAGCACAAGATGTGTTAACAATTCCTGTTTCAACTGTTGCATCAGAATCTGCATTTAGTATTGGGGGTAGACTACTAGATCAGTATAGTAGTTCATTGTTACCAGAAACAGTTCAAGCTTTGTTGTGCACATGAGATTGGCAATTTGGAAAAAGGAGGTAATATATTTTTATATGGTATAATACTATTGTTTTATTTCTTTTCATAATTATTTTGGTAACCTTCTCATAATTTGAATGGTTTTTAATGTTTGAATTTTCTATACTTAGTTTATGCGGAAAAGAGTTATGACGTGGAAAACCTTACTGAAAACATCATCAATATAACTCTTGAAGGCAATAGATCAAGCCAAAGTTCCAATACAATTTCCTCATGATGATCGATGAAAATTGAGGATTTTCTAAAAGGAATAACATTCAAGTTTTGAGTTCCATTGGTAAGGTTTAAACTTTTGAGAAAAACTTCACAACATTGAAAACAAAAATTCTTTCATTTTGCATATCCTTGCACATTTAATATTTTGTAATAGACTAGTAGTGTATGAATGCTTTTTTTATTAGGCTCTTATTTTCGAATGTAGATGTAGTACTTAAACGACAAATGTGTTTTAATATTTTTGAAGTAATATTTATGTGGCAATGTGTGGTATGTGCAAATTTAAGAAAAATATATATTTTTCTTAACAGGTCATAACGTCGTTGGGTAAAATGACCCAACCTATTAAGGACCCGCTAAGATAATGGTTGTGACACGACACAACACGACCCGTTAAGATAACAGGTTTTACACGAAAACGACATAAACACGACAGACACGACCCTTTTGCCAGGCTTACTTATATGTACTCCCAAGAGCAGATATCATACCATGGTGATCACTTTTTCGAGTAGGTCTGATAGTCAGGTCCAACGTCACGAGAGCCAGTGTTTATATAAGAGCAACTCCACCGTTGCAAAGCCCCCCTTCTGGGGCTATTCACTATTTAATTCACTCAGTGAACAGTAACTGCCTTTAATAAATAGTAACTGTTTTTTGCATATCCACCCCTACACTGAATAGCCCTGGTAATAGGTAATAAAATATTAGTATTTTATTTATTTATAATTAATATTATATTATTTACTTTGTATAAATTAATATTATATTACTAATTTATCTCCATATCCTCCTCATTCTTCCTTCTTCTCTGCAGAATTCCTTCTTCCTTCTTCTCAGCAGATTTGATTCTGCTTCTTCTTCAATTATGTATCTTCTTCTTCTTCACTTCCTTCTTCCTTCTTTGTTTGTTTATCAGAAAACTTCCTTCTTCAATTATGCATCTTCTTTGACAACCATCTTTGAAGAAGTCATGACACTGGCTTCGAGAAAGCACGACGCCGACTCCGGGAAAGCCCACAATGCCGACTTGGCCTTTAAAGAAGACGGATCCGGAGCCTCCGGTGGGTTTGGGTTCGAAGAGGATCCTCTCCACAACTTCCAAGGACGACGGAGGTCGAGTAGCTGTAAGGTTGAGGTGCAGAAATGTAAACGAGGTGATGGCTGACGTTGCCCAGACGTCAGCCTTGCGTCAAGTTGCCTTCGGGTTCTCGGGCTGGCAACTCGTGTTGGGTCTCTCCCTCGAGCCTGCTCGAGCTCCCTCGCCAGCACACGCTGGGCTTGCTTGCTCAAGCTCTCTGCCACTGTTTGTGGGCCTGTCCCTCGGGCTCCAGCACACGCTAGAGTTGCTATAAGGCCCTCGAAAAGTTGCCATCTGGGGTGATAGCGGCTTTGATGGGTCAATGACAGGCTTTGGCGATGACCTGGATAACAAAAAACCACATGATTCTAACTTCTTTTCTCATGAATTAACATAGAACTATAGTGTGTATTCACTCTCTTTGAAATGACAATCTACTTACTCCATGTAAAACGGAAATGTCAAACCTGCAGCTGCAAATATCACCAAACCAGTAGCAACAACTGCATTCCGTGACCGGGCCATTGAGAGTACCACAAGAAACTAAACATGACGTGAACAAGGAAGAGAACTGTTATATTCAGATGGATTCTTGAGTGATACTAAATGAAAAATTAAGTGACTATGAAACTAAACATTTGGCATGCTCCAACTGAACAGTTCCATATAATGCCTCGAAAATTACAGCCCCGTATCAAAGTGAGAATAAACATCTTAGTTCATTTTCATCACTAATGCGCACACCAAGTTTAATCAAAGAAAATGTTCAGCCAACTGTAAAACTGCATGCCTTTAACTGCTCAAAGAACGTACCAAGAGATTTGCTTGAATACCAAAAAATGAAAGAGACTCCAGGTTTAGATCCAGTCATACACCTTGTGATGAGCGAAGTCAATGTGGGAAGGATCGGAGACATTTTCCATGAGGGTATCATAGAACAGATCACGCTGGATTGTCACTGACGAAAACTCAGGTTTACTAAATTCATCAGGTAGCCTAAACATTAAACAATTACCATCATCAAAAGATCATTAAATTATTCAGAACATGACAATGAACAACTAACCATATTAAACAGCTAAAAAACACTTCAAGCACAGTATTCAACAATCCTAATCACTATACTTATAAATTAAAGACAACAATCCTAATCACTATATTTATAAATTAAAGACAACAATCCTAATCATTATATTTATAAATTAAAGATTCACAAAAGCGATATAAAATGAATCAATTACATGGGTGGCTTGGTGGCATTAGCTCTTTAAACGCAATTGGATGCTACGTTTCATGAAGCTTATTTGATCACTAGCAATGCCTAAACCCAATTGTACTAACTTTAGTAAACCTAATAATTTAATGCAATGACCAAATTGAAACACGAGTCAGAGTTAAGCCACTAAAGCTCCAATTTACTTGAACATTTTATTAAAGTATTCAAAAAGCCGAACTTAAGGTATTTTATGGGTTAATTACACTAACACCTCCTGAGGTTTTTTGAGTTTTAAAAAAACCCCCTCAGGTTTGAAACATTATACTAACACCTCTTGAGGTTTTAATTCACTTTTCACAAATACCCCTTTCGTTGATAATATGACTATAAAAAAAACAAATATACCCTTTTAATTAATTACTTAAAAAAATAATAACTTTATAAATAAATAAAAAGAATATCAAATTATATATCAAACATGGCATTGACTAGCATCGATGCCAAACCAGTCCTTTTCACAATCAAACACAGCGCCATTACCGTTGTCAACTTCGTACTTGAATACGAGTATCTAGCTACCCGTACTCCCACCGTCGATGACAATCCAACACCGTTTAGTACCAAAATTTCTCGAATTTGTGCAAAAACGAGAAAGTAGCATACTGTGAGAGCTAGTGCGATGGTGACTGAGGCGAAGATTAAGAGGCTCGATCTAGGGTTGTGCTTGGAGGTGCATGTGCAGGATAAGAGATTAGATCGGGTGATGGGTCGGAGTTGGAGCTTAACTGGGTCCACATTGTTGTCGTCGTTGTTGGTAGGCTTCGAAGTGACCCCTTTTGCGGGTATTCAATAGTCAGATGAAAAATCGAGAGTCATAGGAATTTTCGCAAGCAATTTGACAAAAACAATGATCTTGTAGTAAAGGTTTCTAATTGGAACGCAATGAATAATTAAATTCAAATGTGAAAGTGTAAAAATATAAAAATGAAGGTGTGTTTAATCGGAGACGGAGAGGAAGTGATCAAACTTTGTCCCTCTCAATCTCTGTGCGTTGCGAGGAAGGTTTTACAATTAAAATGAATTTTTTAATGTTTTGTATAACTTTTAATTCAATTTGATTTATTTATTTATTTATAAAAGTTTTTTTTATTTTGTTAAGTAATTAATTATGTGGTAAATTTGTCTTTTTATAGTTAGATTTTCGACCAAAGAGGTATTTTTGAAAGTAAATTAAAACCTGAAAGGTTGTTTGTGTAATATTCAAAACCTGAGAGAATTTTGATAAAACTAAAAAAACCTCACAGTGTTAGTGTAATTAACCCGGCATTTTATTGCCTTCTTCTAAAGCTATCCCAAAGACCAATCATGAGAATGGAGGGTTTTCCCTCCAAAACCTCAGCAACCAAACACAAACAAGAAGCTTACTGATAGGGGGCGAGGCGATGAGGGAATCTATCATCGAAAACGACCAACGATTCACCATCGTACCAGATAACAAGGTTTCAACCCAGAAGCTGAAATGGGGTCGGCAACCGAGGGTCCAAATCTTCAGTCAAGGAAACTTGGTACCAATGATCCCTCCAATTGAACTTGCTCGTCGATATCGCGTCTTCAATCTCGTCCTCAGCTCCGTAATCTTCCCCGTCCGGTTCCCTCTGTCCTTCTGGGTCAGCGGTTTGTGGCGGCGGCGATGCAGGCGCAGCTACTCTCAGAGGAGGTAGATTTTTCGCTCTGCCCGGTAAATTACGATTTGGGTGTTTGGTGGAGATCAAGAAAGGGAGTGTCTTGAGAGATTTGGCGGGTGGCGATGGCGGCGATGATAGTGTGAAGATTGTAGGAGTGTCTTGAGAGATTTAGTGGGCTTGTTTCTCACAGTTCAGTTCTCTGAGTTTCTGCTAAAAAGTAGAGAGAGAGAGAGAGAGAGAGAGAGAGAGAGGAGTTTGCGTGCAAGTTTGAAATGGGTTCCTGTTTGTCTGTGCCCGGAGGTAGAGCTAGAGAGTTCCAGTTTTAGCTCCGAGGTTAACGGTATTTTCCGGGGGAAAATTGTGTGCGAGATGCATTGTAGTTTGTGACGTGGCAAGATCTCATTGGTTAGGTTTTGTTTGGTGGTGACGGTGCCGGCCACTAGTGAGCCACCGTTGAAAAAAATCACGATCTGCTGATTTGGACTTCAGACCATGAGACATGGACGTGAGTTAGAGAAAAATCAAGATTAATCAACGGTTGAATGTCATACACCGGAGCACAATAGAATTTTCGTCTTATAGGTATGAGAAATATAATCTATAAATACACCATTTGGACAAGGGCCTAAAAATAGCCGTTTATATTAACTTGATAACGTGTGAATATCATATCACTAACAACATTATCGGTGCAAAATCGTATTTGGTAAGGACATAAGTCTTGTATAGAGAATTTGTACACACCACATTACCATGTGATCTAGTTCTATGTAGGTCAAGCGACTAAAATGAACCACGAAACAAAGGCTGCACCTTGTACTGCTTTCAACCTTGACAAATTTTCAGTTGCATTCGGCATCGATATATTTCATTCGGCACTGGAGTTGGACTGTTGGACGCAACAAATATCAGTAAACTTCAAATTCTGAGCTATGTTCACATGCAGAAGGCACCAAATCTCCATAAAGAGTTCACCACCAAACCTACATAATTGTCCACAGGAAGTGAGGAAGCAATAGAACTCATCAAATACGAGCAGCCGGGAATAAAGCCTCTAAACTCGTCTGAAAAACTTTCTTATGCTTATTCTTTACAGGTATGAGATGTAATACCAAAAAGAAGTCTCACTGACAATTAATTTAACACATTCAAAAGTGAGCACGAGAAGAATGTTGGATTTCTACGTCATCTATTTGTAGATCAAGAGAGACCTTCTCAGTCGAAAATACAGATATGTCCCTTCATCTGGAGAAGCAAATTCCGAAATGATTCAACTCAGGCATAACACACGATAGTGTTTACTTATATGTACTCCCAAGAGCAGATATCATACCATAGTGATCACTTCTTCGGGTAGGTCTGATAGTCAGGTCCAACGTCGCGAGAGCCAGTGTTTATATAAGGCCCTCGAAAAGTTGCCTGGGGTGATAGCGGCTTTGATGGGTCAATGACAGGCTTCGGTGATGACCTGGATAACAAAGAACCACATGATTCTAACTTCTTTTCTCATGAATTAACATAAAACTATAGTGTTTATTCATCGTTGTTGAAATGACAATCTACTTACGCCATGTAAAACGGAAATGCCAAACCTGCAGCTGCAAACATTACCAAGCCAGTAGCAACAATTGCATTCCGTGACTAGCTAGGCCATTGAGAGTACCACAAGAAACTAAACATGACGTGAACAAGGAAGAGAACTGTTATATTCAGATGGATTCTTGAGTGAAACTAATTGAAAAATTAAGTGACTATGAAACTAAGTATTTGGCATGCTCCAACTGAACAGTTCCATATAATACCTCGAAAATTACAGCCCCGTATCAAAGTGAGAACAAACATCTAGTTCATTTTCATCACTAATGCGCACACCAAGTTTAATCAAAGAAAATGTTCAGCCAACTGTAAAACTGGGAAAGGAAATGCCCAACTGATAAACCAGATAGGGCTGCGATGGTAAAATTCTAGCTCAGCCAATATATATATATATATACAACAGATGCAGTATTGTACATTTGGGTAAGCCCAAGATGTGTAAATTTTCCCAGCAGCTAGACGATACCTATGTCTATCTATCCTCCAGAGCATAAGAAGACTAATGATTCTATTTTTTCAGTTCAAACAGTAGATTTTAGGTTCATATCTTACTGAACGAAGAGAAAAATGCGTTTTAGCTTCTGCTAGGTAGCAGTTACAATGCAAGAACATTGCACGTAATCCCACTAGGACTGATATTGTAAGCCTAGCTAAGAACACTACACTAATGTAATGGTTGTTTGCGGGGAGACCGATGCACACATTTCATTATCCTAGTTCCTTACAGTCCAATGCATACACTTGAGTGTAGTAATACCACGAAATAGTCTAAAAAACCACGCACACTCACAATTCTCTTGCCAAGTTTTACATGTTTAAGCAGAAACTATGTCCACTACTGCGCTACACAGAAAACCCGAATCACATTGAAAAATAAACACAACCAAGTGGGATATGCGCCAGGTTTTGGAATAATGGTACCCCATAAAGAAACTACAAATAGCCGAGGCAACAAAGCTTAAGAAACAGTACACAACTTCACTTAACGTAATGTCGAACAATTAGCTCCATATACGTCTCCGAAAGGAGTTATATCACACCAAATATGCGCGAGGTTCAAACTAAAGATCTCCGCAACAAGTATGCTTCAAATTCACATTCTTTAATCTTGAATAAACCCTCCAACTCACATTAATTAATATATTTAAAAGCTTCACCATCCTCATTTCATGACAAATAATGACCATATATTGTCCATCACTTTGTTTCTCACAGATTGAATTTTTTCTGCATATTTTGATCTGAACAGGTAATTAGCCATTCAAACACACAAGATACCAAACTCTTTGATGAATTGGGTAATTATTAACCAGAATTGAGTCAAGCCATGTATCTAAAATGCAAGAAAAACCTAATTTTAAACAAATTGCATTAACAAATGAAAAGGGAGAAACAAGAAATAAGATACAGAATTGTTGAATCACCTGATTCACTTCCAAGTGACATGGATTGCCGATGAACCAAAGTAACAACTCGCCGAGTGATCTGACTCGGTTTAAGACTCAGGCTTAGCAAAATAAAAGACAAGCCGTTGTTTGGGGGTCATGCCTCTAGGCTCTAGATAGACACACAATTGATTGAACGAAAAGTTGGGCCAAAAGTAAAAAATAACTGAATACTATTGGGCCAGAAATTTAAGTCTAGTTATGGTTTGTTTTTTTTTTTTTTTTTTTTAAAAAAAAGGAGGACAACTTGTGGCAAATCACGGTTATCCACCTCTTCCAGGGGCCGAGAAGACTTACAAAGACATTTCAACATTCCCCTGGCCACAAGTCTGACACCAATAGTAGATTCAAACCCGAAACCTCCAATTTTTAGTTTGAAGAAAACTTCGCAATCCGCCCTTTACCACTGAACCACCAACTCATGTTTATAGTTTGTTTTGTGTTTATTTGTCAAGTTTTTTAACAAAAATAATTTTTGCGCACCTCTTTGTTTTAGGGATTGAATACAATACATATACGTATTTAATACAATTACTTTGTACATGAGAAAAAAAGTATAGATGGCCTATTTTGTCACATAAATTTTTTTTTTTCAGTACACATTTTATGTTTGTTTTGTCACTTAATTCTCCTTCTATCCTCCCTTCTATTAAGGGATTTCAAAAATAATCATGTGTCAATCCAGACCGTCTATTATATTTTATAATGAGATTATTCTTGCAAAAAATAAGATATATTCAAAATCATTTAGCCATCGGTGGTAGTCGGCAGCTCCTCTGCCGGCTTCCCCCTCCCTCGAGTGGAGAGGTTCGGACCGGCCAGGATACACACAACCAAGCTTACATAAAACTACAACAAATGAGCTAAGTCTATCACTTAATTGAACTGGTTCGTTCTTCCTTTCTTTCACCATGTCAATGGTGATTAAAAACAAATTCAGCACATCATTCTCTAGCAAAATCCTAGTCATAATTCAAACATCTACGTTTTCAATTTCATCTTTTTGATTAGGAATCAAAGAAACATCCACAACAAAATGCAAGAACCGCCTTCAAAAGAAATTCTGACGACTACACGGAGCCTTTAGGTAACTCGGTACCCCTCTCCGACAAAATGACAATGGATGAGAAGCAAACTCATACTTCAAACCAACCAAACTATCTTAAGTGCACACAATCCATTTACAATCATTCAGGCCAACATGGAGAGATCAGCTATGCTTCTCGACCGCTCAAAAGATAAGAACAAAAAAAGTAGAGCCACACATCATAAATCGATAATAATAACCATTCAAATTCGCCACTGGTTCTAAATCCACACAATAAAGCAGTGAAGCAACACGTTTAAGACATCATCAACACCAAAGCCTACTCAAGTAACAGTGACTACCCACCACAATTCTCCAAATGAGAGAATTACACTACAGTGCCATAATCCAAACATGCACATTACTTTTGAACAAACGATAAACCTGTTTATCTAACATTTCAGTTCTAGAGATGACAGTGTCGTTGCGCAGACAAGGGTCACTTTGCAAGAACCTGCTGGGCAGCTTGGTTCTCCTGCTGTTGCTGATAGTTCAGTGGCCTCCTGAAGAGCATGATGTGGGGCTCAGGGCGATGAATTGCATAGTGCACCCAACCACGGCTCTGCTGAACCCCAATTGCACGCCATTCATTCTAAATCAAAATGGAAAAAGAAACAATAAAGTGTTAATTAAATTCAGATAACCAAATTTTAACATACAGAAAGACGATTCACTAAAGTTATGAAATGCTTCTGATTTTAGAACTTGATTCACTCATATATTTCACCATCTCATTCTTCTTCCCCCTTTACTTTCTATCCTCGGCAACCAAACAACCAATCGAATCCTCACAGAAACAAAGAAGAAAATAGAAAACAATACATATTACTAAACCATCAACATTGCAGAGAGAATCACAAATGAACAACTTGCAAAAGCATTTTAAATATTGGGTTCTAACTAAAAAGAATTAATTTGGGTTCCATAAATAAAAAAATTAACCAAATTACACCAAACAACGAAATAATGGCCGGTAAGTTCTGGGTTTCATAGATTTTACAATTGGGATTGTAAATATTTCATTTCCACAATCATACATACTAATTGTACCAATTAACTAATCACAAAGAACCCAATGAACATAAAATTACAAAAAAATCCAATGATTAAATAGTGAAAAACCCCAATAAATTACCTCAGAGAGAAGCCGATTCTTTGGGAGCAGTTTAGCCACATCCTGAGGAAGAACCACATGCCTGTACCAACATTGAAAAGAAAAAAAATTTAATCAAAATGCAAAAAAAAAAAAAAAAAAAAAAAAAAAAAAACAAACAAAAACGAATCAGAAACGAGCATACCTGTACTCGTAGATATCATCGAAGTACTTTTCGGAGTACTGGATCTGACCCATCGTTCAATCCCAAACCACGATTTCAAGCAAAATCTCGAACAGGGTTTTTCAAATTTCTCAGTTTAATCTGCCAAATAAAGGACAACTTTCAAGAAATACAAAGAGATCGGAGTTCTAGAGAGGGAGTAAAATTCAAATTGAAGAGAGAGAGAGAGAGAGAGAGAGAGAGAGTGCTTTTACCTCAGAGAGCGTCGGAGACGACAGAAAATGGGAGTGAAAATTTAATAAAGGAGGTATGGGTGGGGGGATGGTGGAATAAAAGGGAAGTTTGGGAGGGCTATTTATGTAAATTTGATTTTCTAAAATGTGCTTTTTCTATTTATATTTATTTATTTGGAAAAAAGGTAGATGAAGCACCGGATGTATTGTTTTTGAATTTCAAAATTCTAAAAACTTCGCGCTTTTGATTTGTTTTCGTGATTAGTCTCTCACAACGGTAAACATGTATTTAAAATATCAAGTTAATTGCAATTCTTTTTTCTTTTCCAATTGTACACCAAACCGCAATTACTTACTACTATGGTCTGGTGATATTCTTCTTTATTTGAAAGTGAGAGGTTTTAGGTTCGAATCTCGTGGATGGCGAATTCGATACCAAATTAGGCTACCCATTATATGGCTTAGCCAAACTCCCCCTCCCTTTAGTGTAAAAATATTGATGTATTAAAAAAAAAAGGGTAAATGACAAAAAACTACTTCAACTATTGGTCTCACAACACTATCATACCTCATCTTTTAAAATTGATAATGTCATACCTCATCTTTAGAATTTGGTCTAATGTTATACATTCTGTTAGCTTGATCGTGAATTTCTCAGTTAAATGTTGACATAGCTTAATACGAGGCCCACTTTCTATTAATAAAATATTAAAAAATAATAATTTACACTTAAAAAAAAATTAAAAAAAAACCCCCCAAACACCCATCTTCCCCAAGGACCCCTCCCCCACCTCCTCCTCCTCCCAACACCCCCCCCCCCCCCCCCCCCCCCCCAAAAGACTTCATTCTCTGCCGCCCATCCTTTTGTAGTCATGAAGTTGAAGCCTTTATATTCATCATTGCCTTAATACAACAGCAACGTTCTAACAACAAAAAACCCAAATCCAGAAGAAGAAGAAAAAAAAAAAAAAACCAGAAATCCATCATAGTTTTTAAATTTTTGATCATCTGGGTAGTTTTGAAATCGAACTAAAACCATGAAAGAGTCGGAGAAAAGCTTGAATCCTTAGTTGTGGCACGCTTGCGCCGGCGGCATGCTTTACGTGCCTTCGGTGAACTCCGAAGTCTTCTACTTCCCGCAAGGCCACGTCGAGCATGCCTAAACTAGTGGTGGCGTCGATTTCCTCTCTACCTCGCCGAGGATCCCGTTGCTCATTCTCTGCAGGGTGGCCGCAATCAAGTTCATGGCGGACTCGGAAACCAACGAGGTGTTTGCCAAAATTAGGATGAACCCAATTAAGAACAACAAGGCCTTTGCCGCGGATGACGGGGGTACGTAGGCAAATGGGTCAGAAAATCAGGAAAAGCCGGCGTCTTTCGCTAAGACGCTGACCCAATCTGACGCCAACAATGGCGGTGGATTCTTTGTCCCAAGGTACTGCGCTGAGACCATTTTTCCAAGGTTGGATTACTCGGCGGACCCACCGGTGCAGACGGTGATCGCGAAGGACGTTCACGGCGAGGTGTGGAAGTTCATGCACATTTACAGAGGGAGGGACGCCATATCGGCATTTGTTAACTACGGGGTGGAGCACATTTGTGAACCAGAAGAAATTGGTGGTTGGAGACTCGATTGTGTTTCTGAGAGCTAAAAATGGCGATCTCTATGTTGGGATTTGGAGGGTGAAAAGGGGAATAGATGACGTGGAGGAAATGAATTGACTTTTGGATGGAACAACAGCCACAACAGTGGCAGTGGCTCTGGAGGTTGTGGGCGGCAGGGAAGGAGGAGGTGGGTCTGGGGAGGGGGGGCGAGATGTTGCGTGGGTGGGGAAGGGGTTGGGGGTTGCAGGGAAGGGGAAGGAAAAAGGATCTGGGTTTTGGATTTGGGTTGCAGGTAAGGGAAGGGGTCGCGAGAGATGGGTATTTGGGTTTTTTTTTTTTTTTTTTTTTTTTTTTAAGGTAAATTATTATTTTTTAATATTTTATTAACTTTTTAATAGAAAGTGGGCCCCGAGGGTCAACATTTAAATGAGAAATTCACAGCCAAATTAACGGAAGGTATAACATTGGACCAAATTTAAAATATGAGGTATGACATTGTCAATTTTAAAAGATGAGTTATGATAGTGTCGTGAGACTAATAGTTAAGGTAGTTTTTTGTAATTTACCCAAAAAAAATTATACACCAAACCGAAAACAATGAAGACCCATCATCATAAACAAAGTGAAGAGGTCAACTAGCTCTTATTTTAGTGATAATTTTAGTCACGTTTGTTATAAAGCCAAAAAAAAAAAAAAACTAAACTGAAGAATGTCAATCATTAGTATATACACACACACTAAACTGAAATGTTTTATTTTTATTTTTAAAATTGAAGTAGAGAGAAAAAGAGTGAGAGAGAACATGAGAGTGGGGAGAGACGGAGAGAAGTTTAATTTTTTTAAATTAGAAATGTTAAAATTACCTGTAGGTGATGCTCTGAACTTTGTTGTGATAGAAGACTAAATAGTTTTTTCTCCCTCTTTTAATTGACAAAGAGAGTTTTATTAATATGTAGTTTAGATAGGAAAGTATTATTGGCACTCCAAAAATCTCATTCTACACTCCTCACAAGTGTATTTTTCTTTATAAATATAGAAAGTTTGAAGTGTAGAATGAGAAATTTAGAGTGCCAATAACAATTCCCTTTAGATATTGTAAGATACTAATGATCAGTTAGTCTAATAGCATTCAATTTTTGCTTGTTTGGCAAGCGGTTAGGCTCAAATGCCATGGACGACAATTGTTGAACAAAAAACACGACAAGAAATCATGTACATAAAAAACGAAAGTAGAGACTCCAATTTGGTTATTTCCCACAATTGATTTTTCTTTTTGAGCAGATGAACATAGGCATGAGCAAAATAACATGATCCCTATATTAATCTTCTTATTTACTAGTTCAGATGCAGGAAGGATCATAATTCAAGTTTCGAACGACAAAAAGGCCGAAGGGACCGAACAAAAAGCATAAGCTACAAAAATGGCCCAGACGCAGAAATAACAGTAACAAAATTTTCTGTAAGAAGCTTCATAAACCTAAGACGACATTCGGTCTCCGAAACTGAAATATCTCAAAAATTCTATGTGCTAACCAAAAGACAAACTGCCTGTAAGGTTGAGGTATATTTCTGCTCTTTCTGTACACCAAGAGACAGGGGAGTCATTTACATTTCGGTAGAAACATAAGATCTAGATGATCCGTCATTCAGCTACTTCAATGGGACCTAAGAATTCGGCACTTGGGGACGGGCTTCTGCAGCATGTTAGTCCCTTGGAAGATCATCATTTGGTATCTTTTCCTGTAATCGTGTATCTACAAAACGAAATTACGTAAATAAACAAGCTTAACAAAATTATGCACTAGAAGAAACCATGCAAGAGTTCACACACACCTCATTTTCGGTTAACTTCTCAAAACCGAATCTCTTTTTCCAAATTGATTCTGCCTCACTAGCGGCTGGCAGCACAAGGCTTTTCACATTTAGAAATGCAAGAAGCCTCTCAATACATGAAAACAACGTCTGGAAGTAACCCTACAAAACAATAATCAGTTAAGTCAGTAAGAAAGATAAGGCCACAACCCAAAATTCCATCACTTTTTATTCCAAAAGAAAAATGTGGCTATGTGACTATCCACACGCCAGAGTAGTAATAACCTGTCCTTCAAAATCAGCACATGTAGCCACTAAAGGAAGCTCTGCCACTTCGGCTCCATAGATACGAAACATTCCAGCTGACACGACTAATTGGCTGCGTAATAAGAAAAACATGTCAAAACAGATTACCTTAACTGAAATAATATTGCATAATAAGCACTCAGAAACAATCCTTACTTTACTGTAATAATTGCACAGTACATCCCACCAAAATCTTGGGTATGGATGGTCCTCCTGCAAATTCAGTTGATATATTCAGTCTAGATTGAACGTAATTACGTAGTAGTTAACACAAGGAGACCAAACAAAAGAGTAACAGTTGAGTAAAGCTCATGAGAAAAGAGAACATTCTTGCTCACCCGTAAAGCATTTCTTTGATGAAGTCCTGGCGTGAAGTAGAATCAATTATTGGGGAAAAACGATCCTAGTGCACAGAAATGAAATCGAAAATTTAATATGTTGTTTAATGCCGCCTGAAAAAGGACAGAAGTTCATCTAATAACACCACAGACACAGGAGGGCCAATAATGCACATTAAGGTAGGTCAGATCATCCACTAACATCACTAAATGCAGCACAACATTTTCCTCATTAACAACACCTCTCAGTTGGGTAATATTATAAAAATAACAGATTCTAACAGAGCAACAAATAAGAAGTTTGCTCACATGGAAGATTTCAAGAGCCTTGGAAAGCAACTGAACACTTTCATCATCAGTAGACATTTTCCCACTAAGCACCCTCCATTTTATATCAAGATTAGCTCCACTCTCAGGACCTTCCTCATTATGCTTCTTCCTTACAACATTCAGGAGGGAGTCTGGAAGCTTCTGTTCCCCATGAACTACCAACTTCTGCAAAGCTGAATGAATCCTGAGGCAATCTGAGCAACAGAACCACTTGTCTTGTGGTAATTCCTGGAGAACAAATGAAAATTTAATAAAAATAGCAGCAAAAATACAGAGCATAACAAAAACAAATGCTGATAAAATGATATTCACAATAATAAAAAAAGGAAGATGAGCACCTTCAAATCTTCAATTCCTTTATCCTTCAAACAACCTACATGATACTCCTTTTCACACTGGAGTGAGGAAAAGAATAAGCACATCATTTAGAGCATAACGGCTAATCATAAACAATTAAGAAATTGAAAACACTTCAAAGACAGACTCAATATGTTTATAGATTAGGTTAGCAATGAAAGTACCTGATCACACAAAATAACTGTGCCGGGACCAAAATCAGAGCCGCTGAACTCATGGCTACTGCAAACATAAAAAAACAAGACTATTTATGATAGGAAATAAGTTGATGCACCAAATGTTGGGATTTCCAGCCCACTAAAAATTGTTGCCAGAAGTAAGTGTTCTGTATAACTGCATATATTTTCCTGGTTCATGACAACTGAAACGAGAAATAACCTGCACAGTGCACATCCACCAAGCTTCTCCTCGAAAGTTGTGACAATACGAATGCATCGGTTGGTTATTTGTTCTATGGAATCGACCCCTGCAACCCTTCCAGCTGCAACAGCATTGGCATTATGCTCCACATATTTCTCTCTCTCAAACATAGTCTGGCAATTCTTACAGTACCAAGTATCGCCAGGGACAATTGGTAGAGAAAGGCACTCTGCAATCGACAAAAAATAAATATATAAAACATGCAGTTCATGCACAACAAGCATACTACATACATATCGTCTCTTTCATTTTTTTTTTTGCTTTTACATGTGTAATGCTTACAGAGCTAGCATCTAAACTAGTTAGGAAAAGAAAATGCAACAAACAATTAAAAATGGGACAGATTTGAATGCATGTGATCAATAACCATAACCTATGTTTTTAGAATACAGACTCCTGTAAACATGAGGGATAATTAGTTTTCCAGTTCATGAATCCTACTATTCCAAAAAATAAAAATGATACGGCAACCTCAGAAATTTTATTAAATATAAACATTGGAACTGAATAAAGAGAGAAAAATAATAAAAGCATAAAATGAACATGATAATTGGAGATAGATCCTAACAATTAATACTATGCAAGTTAAAGAATACACATCCCTCTTAACCCTCCATGTGAAGGCAACTAAGACATTGGATTGTGCATGCACTTGTGCACTTGCACACTTGCAGAAAGAAGCCCAAATGTTCCCCCTCAGCAAGCACATTGTCAAAGACCCTCCTATTCCTTTCATCTGACAAAATTGCCATCATTGCCAACCCTACGCTTATGAATCTAAATTTTGAAAAGAAAAAATAATTTATTTTCTTCATTCCTTCTCCTATCCGCTGCCCACTTCCCTCTCTAATCCTAATATTTCAATTTTGTAGGTCACGACATCACCATCACTTGGGTGCTAACTCGATCTAAATATTATTTTTTCTAATTTTGTTTATTTCTGTTTAACTTCAGTGAATCAAAATTTTAAAATATGATGAACTGGGAAACTTAAGATAGTTCACAGAGGGGTTGTAATAAGACAAAAAAAAATGGTGCAAACAGAAGCAACCCAATATGGACATACACCCCTGATTTCATGTCCATTTCCGGCCTCTATCTTTTGAAAGAAATAAATATACCAAAAAATATTTCTTAGAATAAAATAAATGAAATGCACCCTCTGTAACTCTTCCCGCGCTTCCATGTCCTTTTTAACAACAGGGGTGTACAGTATTTCATTCCCAATTAAGTATCCATGATCGGTCCCTTTTTAAGGGGGGCCTCAAGAGTTCTATGGATGCAAATAAAGGATTTTTAACATAATTACTAAAATATTACGAAGCGAAAAGTTCCACATGGTATCTGCGAATACATATTGATGCACCAAAGGTAACTGTGGGACATCACCTTTGTGAAAAGCCCTTGGACAATTCTCACAGCACAAGAGATCTCCTCTAGCTTTGCAGATTGAGCATAGGTCATCATTATGCTTGGCAGACCACTTCCGACGACTAGATAGAGATAATGCCAATTCATGGAGAGATACCCCATTAGATGTGTAAATGTTCAGGTAACTGCCAAACAAATGAATGTCAAAAAATAAATTTAGAAATTATGGATAAAAAAAGTTATTACTGCAAAATTTCCCACAACCTTTCCACCAAAAAAAAAAAAAAAACAGGTGGGGACGCCCATGGAAGTCTAGCAATTCAATCATGTCATGTGCAAGAGCTAGATCAAGCCTAACTCACTGCAAAATTTTAGGACCAATGTGAACAAGTATAATAACCAAAAAATTTAACCAAGGACTTACGGCTTGCGACGTGACTTAAAACCAGCATGCGCTTCAAATGTCGATGCGCTGACCTGCCAATCAGATGTAGGAAAATCATAGATCTGTCAAAAAAACCATAGGTGGTGGTAATTCAGTAGAAAGTAAACATACCTCATTATTGCAGCAACCACAAACAATGCCAGGACCCTTTTTATAACCAACCAACAATTTCTGCCAGAAAAAAAAAATGGCCACTCAGAAAATAACATTTCACTTCAATTAGGCAAAACAACAACTAACCAGATTTAGTGGCAACCTTTCCCTTAGAAAAATAGCCTACTTCTGTGCCATCCGGCAAGACATCTTCCTCAAAAACTAACTTGTGCAACCGAAGATCCCTTTCAAACAAATTTGAGACAAGCGGCAAATTAAGTGCATTGATTATGATAAAGAGAGGCACACAAAATAGCTCAATTGTGAAATAACAGAGCTCGTCAAGAAAAAAGAATTAAATATGAGACAGATACAAAACTCGAGAGAGAGAGAGAGAGAGGTTGAATACTTTTTGGTTACTCTTCCCTGACTCGTACTTTCTGACGACTGACGCTCTGGCACGTTATGAGGATGCTTTTGAACTTTAACTGGCTTTGATGAGCTACACATTGGCACAGTATGAGGATGCTTTGGTACTGTAACTTGATATGGTGAGCTACACTTTGACAAGGTATCAGGACTATTTGGTACTGTAACCAGCTTTCGTGATCTGAAATGGTAAACACATGCACATCCTCAATTAGAAATCAAAACATTTAAAATAAAGGATCATTATGACTCTCTTGTACTCATATGTGATAGGAGAGTAAAAATCCTGAATTACGTATAATACGTAAAAGTATATACATACATAAAACTGAAAGTATAGCTAGATTCACCCATCTGCATATATATAAGCTGCTAAGAAATGAAAAATGTTCACAACTCAACTACGCAATCAAATGTGAGCTGTAAAAAATGTAACTATTCCAACAACACAGGGCCCCTAGTCCAAGCACATGTTTTCATAAGGCTCATGTGTTCAATGAATTTAAACCAATAAATATCACTATATACAGAAGCTTATCTTGATTGAATACCCCTTGATTTGTAAAAAGAATTAAAATCCCTCAATATCCCAATTGAGTACACCCTGTAATCATAAGATGTAGCTTCCTCTCTGTCAAAGTTACATTAAACCCACCCCATATTAGTCTTCTTAAACATGTTGCATACACCCAGAGGAGGATGAAAGATTTTTCAGATAAACAGATGGAACCAAAAATCAAAAGTAGGGAAGATAAAGTTTACTCGTCACTCTGGTTAGCAGCTACAGCAAGCCTAGCTCCAGACTCTTTTAACTCCATGCATGAGCTACAAAGTATCACTGCTGACCTTGTACCGTCTTTGTCAATAGATTCTACATTCATCGTATAAGAAAAGAGTTATGCATATGCATATTACTCATCAAGGGGAATTGCAATTAATTTATGCGGACATAAAGGCTACCTTTGCAATTGAGACAGATCGTACATTTGCTTATAGATGAGCAACCAATGACAAGTCGGACAGCTTCTTCCAAAGTTTCCAATGGAGAATTTTCGCATACAGTCATGACATCCCGAAGGGTCTTCCCATTCTCAAGATATATATACTCCGGCGGACGTTTGTTTGAACTACCCGCATGCAGCTCAAACACAGGAGGTGTAATAACCTAATGAAATTCAATATAATAATCTATCAACCCTTTATATCAATGGACATTACAAGACATGATACAAAAGAAATATCGTTAAACAATACTCACTTCAGTTCCTTTGCAAGAATCACAGTGACACAATATAGAAGAGCCCATAATCACTCCCCTAAGCCCAGTTTCTCCAGATTCTCTTATCTGACAACAAGAAATATGAAACACAAAATAAGTACTCCACCCTAAACCACAAATCAGCAATCATATGCACGCTGAAAAACAGCAGCACCAATCGAAATAATACCTTTGATCGTCTAAGGTATTTGACTGGCTGCCCCTCGAGAATACCGGTATCAAGAAGTTCTTTCAGTTTACTGAGCTTCCTCCCCATCTTCGGCATTTTCATATCAAGTTTCATTGGAGTAACAAAAGGGCTTTTCTGAATCTCCGAATCTATCTCTTGGGTATAACCTTCTGCGGGTAAATTCTGCATTTTTTCTGCCTCAAGTTTCAATGCTGACCGAGTGAACCTCCTCAGAGGCTTCCCAATCACCTCATCTTCCACCTTAACGCTGGCGTTCTCAATCAAAACAGGGACTTCTTCGTCCACCAAAGGCTTTTTGGGTTCATTATCTCCAATGCAACCGGTCTGGGGCTCCTCATCTACTGCCATCTCCAACACACAGTGCTTCAACTCGTCTTCCCCAACCCTCTCGCTCAGCACAAGCTCACCCACATGGGATTTCGGCTCGTCTTCGCTCGTGAGGTCCACCACATCGCTTTTTGCATCCTCTTCGCTCATAGCCTCCTCCAAATCCTCCTTAACCTTCACAATCTCCCCCTCCCCCATCTCCCCACCCCCCAATTTCTCATCACCATCACCCCCGTTGCGCTCCTCCGTCTTCAACCTCTTACAGCCATCGTTCTGGGCCCTACGAGTCCGCCCTAAAGAGCCAGACACTTCGGCCTGCGCCTTCAACGCAAACACGAACTCGCGTTTCAGGCCCGTCCGGACATTAGACATCACCACAAACTCCTCCGAATCCGTACCCTTCGCCATGCACGGCCTCAGATCGATTCAAAACCGTAGAAATTTCCCAAATCCCTGGTTCAGATTTGGATTCAAAGAATTTCAAACCCAAAACCGAGCCTAAAGGTGAAACCTTTGTTTAATATATATGTCTCTGTGTGTGTGAATCGAAATTTAACAAAATATAAACCCTTGAATAAAGTTGGGATTTTGTGAGAGGGGAAAAAATTAGGGTTTCAGAAAGAGTCCGAGAGATTGGTTTGTAATTGGGAGGAAATAGGAAACGTCGGGTTGTTTTTTGGCTTTTTTTTTTTTTTTTTTTGAGGAAGAGTGGATGGCCACCACCCGCAAGTATGAAAGAGGGAGGGAGACGGGGGAAAACGAAGAGTCCACCTGTAAATTTCTTCAGGGACGAAACTACCCCTGACACCACGACGCTGTTGGATCTTGTCTTTTATGGGAATTTTGGGATTGTGGTCCTCTACTTCGTATTATATTCATTTCCATCCCCATTCATTCAGGCTAGGCTACCACCAATTTCTCTTTAAAATATGGGATATATTACAAATTTGCAATTTACACCCTTAGGTTTGGAATCTATTGTAATCCCATACAAGGTTTTTAAAACATTTTAATCTCATACATTTACTATTATTTCATTTCAATTTCATACAACCTTAATCTATTTAATTGGCCGTCAAATGATGACATGGCAAATGTAAGGCCCACATATCTTTGATGACGTGGCAAAAAATAAATCAAATATTAAAGAATCATTTTAGAGAGGGAAACAGAGATTTTGTGCAAATTTTTTTTTGAATTTGATAAAAAATAAGATGGTGAGGGTGAACCGCAGATAATTTTTAGGCATAGGCAGCGGGAAAAACTAAAGGAGTTGTGCAGTGGCTAAGAGCATCTCCAGTGAATGGCTTTATATTGAGCTGGAAAAGTGGTGGATATAGCTCATTTTAGAGTTCCGAGGAATCTTTAAGGTTTTATAAAGAATCTCTCCCAATGAGAGACTATTACCTTTTGGGCTCTATATGGAGCTATATATTTCTTTATATAGTAATTAGATTACGCGATAAATTTGTCTTAATTTTTCTTAAATTGATTTTTGGATAGGTTATCTTAAATTTTTTTAAGAACTTTTCAACCTAAAAAAATTCAAATTATGACAAAGTTAGATTTCATCACTTATGCACCATTGGATTAGGTTCTCTTATCTCAATCTCATCTGCTAGTTTGTTCTATAAAATCAGACAAGATAAAATTTCACTTCATGACAACCATTGGATTGAATTATTTTATCTCAATCTTATCTGTTGGTTTATTTCTTTGATTGGCACATTCTGCGAAATCAAACAAAATAAGATTTTATTTCATAATGACCATTAGATTGGATAAATCTTATCTAAATCTCATCCATTGGTTTATTTATTTGATTGGCACATTCTTCGAAATTAAACAAGATAAGATTTCATTTCATCACAACCATTAGATTGGATTTATCTTATTTCAATCTCATATGTTGGTTTATTTATCTGATTGACACATTTTCCGAAATTAAATAAGATAAGATTTGATCGGCACCTCGTCATGCCGACAAAGAGTTAATCAAGATCGGGAAGAGAGCCATGTTCGACTTATGTATGATTACTTCTCTAACCCTCCATTGTACCCACCACACTTCTTCTGAGCTAGGTTCTGCATGAGGCGTGAGTTGTTCGATAGGATCATGGAAAGAGTCGTCAAGTTTGACAATTTCTTTCACTCAAAGACGTGACGCAACCAGAAAGCATAGATTCTTACCATCTATCAAGATAACAGTAGCATTCTGAATGCTTGCATACGGAGCAGTGGCCAACGCCGTTGACGACTATTTAAAGGTGTCAGAGACAACAACTTTAGAGTCTTGCAAGAAGTTTTGTTGTGTCATCAATGACGTCTAAGGACCAAATATCTTCGTAAACTGACGAAAGGTTACCTTGCACAGACTTTTGAGAAAAGCTAAGGAATGAGGGTTTCCTGGTATGTTTGGGAACCTAGTTTGCATGCACTGGGATTGGAACAAATGTCCAGTGGCATACCATGGTTCTTATACTGGATACAAATGAAACCCAACCATTGTCCTCAATGTTGTTGCATCATATGATACATGGATCTGACATGCATTCTTTAAACCTCCAGGTTCGTGTAATGATCTTAATATACTTTACAGATCACCTCTTTTTAATGATGTTTATGAAGGACATGCTCTACTTGTTTGATATTCCCTTAATGGTATCGAACACAACAAGGATATTATCTTGCAGATGGTATATATCCAAAGTGGTCGTCTATTGTCTAAACAATGACAGATACTCAAACAAGGGATAAAAAATTATTCTGCAGTATGCATAAGGCATATTGAAAGGATGTCGAAAGATATTTTGGTATACTTCAAGCAAGGTTTAGAATTGTTGAGGACCCAAGCCGACAATGGTATCAAGAAGTTATGGCGAATGCTATGAAGGCTTGCAGAATTCTTCACAATATGATTGTGGAAGACAGCCGTCAAGTAGAAGGGGAAGACTCTGAAGATGATCCTTCGCAATATCATGTGAAGGAAGCCCCCAATGAAGTTGATCGAGATCCAGTGTTTAAAATATCGGTATCGGTGGAAACATCGATAGATATATCGATTGCCTTTGATGGAAATAATGGAAATTTGCTCAAAAACATGGAAATTTAAAATTATTTTTTAGGGAATGTCATATGAAGCCACAACACACTTATGAAGCAATAATTAATGATTAGATACTGTGTAAACAATAAGTATGTGATATGTGAGAAGGAAAACTTATTTCTAATGACAAGTAATAAAATAAAGCATTTCACTAAAACAAATAAATTATACATAACTTAATTGAAATTTTCGTCATGAAAGTAACACAATTTTATTTAAGTAAACTAATACCATAAAGAAAGAAATTAAACAATAAAGAATGCATAGACTCATGGAGTTAAAACTGATAGCAAATCTTCATCTTTCATTTTGATTTGGCCTTCCTGCGTAGTACTTCCCAATTGCACCAATGCCTACACCCACTTCTCTACACCCACTATCTTCATCTTAGGTGGCATAAGTAAAGACATCCTCATCATGCCCACCACCATCATCCTCTCCACTATAATTTCTCTCACCGGTAGCATCATTTATCAAGACATGCTTTCCACTTTGAATGCCACACATTTCCCTCTCAAACGAAGAAGTATCACCACTCTCAAGTTCTTCAAAAATGTCTCTCTACATCAATTCCTTTAGCATTAGCAAGATAGGCTACTTGTGAATCAGGATTTCCGGCTTCATCATCCAAGTGGGCTGGCATAATCCATGCATGAAGTGGATCATTGCCATTTTCCTCACTGGGTTGGCCTTCATTTTCAAGAAGGTCTATGTAATCATTTTCTTCAATCATGTTAGCTTCGGCCTCTTTATCTTGTAACTTAAGCTTCATATTATATTAGCAATAAACAAGCATTTCTAATCTAGAATATGTGAGAAAATTCCTTTGTTTGGCATGAATCAAAGCAAATGTGCTCCAATCTCACTCACATGTCGAAGATGATGCAGTTTGTGCTAGTATACGCACCGCAATCTTTTGCAAGTTTGGTGTAGAATGCCCATGCATATCCCACCAATCCCCTGTCAACATAAATCATATTATGAGATAATTGTTATTTTGTAAGTAAAAAAATATACATCACTTGATAAATAAATGTGTGTGTGTGTGTATATATATATATATATATATAATTCACTTGAAAAAATGATAAACTTGGTGGCATTGTCTTTTGAGACTGCACTACTAATTCTTTGCGAAAAGACTTCTTGCATTCCCTAAAGTCGATGATCTGTAAAAGCATTGAAATTTAAGGTATACTTTATATGTGAATAATGATCTTGCATAATTACTAATCCCCACCCAAGTCCCAACAATCAAGAACATAGAAGACTCATTCATATAGGCAACTATGTTTGAAACCAAACAATTTTTAATTAAAATGAGTGAGATCTCACCTCATTTCCAAATTTTTGTAACCCGAGTTGCTCACTTAGGGTCAACCTTTGAAATACTATTTGTACTGCTTGAAGTACTTCTACATCATGGCCAACGTCGGACTTGTACTGATATTTCAGGTTCAAATAATAGGCTTAAAACATGAATTTAAGTTGGTATGAGATCATACACCATGAAGTAAATCAAATGACATTAAATAAAGGAAAAAACATATCTGCTACATGTAATGGATGAGATAATGTGGTATCTTATCAATCATTGATTATTTTAAGAATCCATTTCTTCCCCTTGAGGCGTGAAATTTATTCTTTCATCTTCTGAAACATATACAAGAAAAAGAATATGAGAAACATTATACTACAAGATAAAGAATATGAGAAACATTATAGTACATGATTGTTGAGATTCAATTAGCATATTCTTAAAATGATGTGAACTGGCCATATGAGGAGCCACACCTTCATATATGATGTATTTGCTCACCATTCTTCCTAGTTTTTCTTTAGCACCCTTCCACAAGCCTCTAACAGTTTGTTGCTTTTGCCTTGATGAATCATAAAGTTTAGGCTCAAAATGAGTAAAATGAGTATCTTGGGTGCTCTGTGTGCAACGATATAGGTAGGGTAGGGTGGTTGATTGCTACTACCTACCCTACCTAGCAAGTATTAATAAAATGAGTTGGGTTTTTCAACAACTAAGGAAAAATAAATTACAATACTAAAAGATTGAAAAGTATTAAAGATGTGAAACTTGCCTTGCATTGATGACTTGACGTTTGCAACATAAAGAATGTGGTGCATGCACTCACAATTTTTTTTGTTTTCCTACTTTCCTGCACAGACTTGAAGATGAAGAGTTTGAAAGGAAAATAGTTATGAAATGAAAGAACACATTTCACGTTGGTGGATTTTTTTATTTATTAATGTAAGAAATCTCCACCTTTTGTGGAGATAAGAAACTCTTTTTGTTTGCTGAGTAACATATAAGAGATATTAGATTCCTTAACCCACCTAATCTACAATTCAAAAATACATCAGACTAGTCAAATATAATTCAAACGAGAACCAAAATCCCAATTCTCAACATAAATTCATTTTAGCAAATTTAAATATGACAACCCTGAATTATAGGAATTTAAAACTCTAATTATGGGATCATTTTGATAATAATATACATTACTACTAAAGATAGAGAGAGACGAGCAAAGATCAAATGCTAGAGCAAATATATCAGCACTACTACAAATCCACAATTCGAAAATAAGCAAAGTTATAATACAAAGTTAAAAGTT